CTGACATGCCACTTTGTGAACAGCTGTTCCCCATGGTATGCACAGCTGCCTCCTTGTATACACAGCAGTGCCCAGATGGTGCAAATCTGGATGCCCTTTAAGTGACAAAACAGGGCTGTTGGGGACCTAAAAGTCACAGATGGCCAAACTAGATTGAGTAAGCAGGCACAGAAGTGGCAAAAATAGACTATGGAGTCCCAATTATTTTAAGACTTTAAAAAATGATTTTAAAATTTAGATACAATCAAATCACACTATTTTACATACAGCTCTCTGAACTTTAAGTGTGTATAGACTCATGAACAATCCCTGCAGTCAAGGTCCAGGTAGGTCTGTGTCCCCAGAGACTCACTCATGCTGCCTTGTCATCAACCTGCCCCAGCCCTAATCCCTGAAACCCCAAACTGTTTTCTGCACCTACAGTGACAGCTTTTCCACAATGTCATGTAGATGTAATCACTCATGATGTTGATTTTTGGGATTAGCTTCTTCTACACAGCAACCTGCTCTTACAATTCACCAGGAATTGCAGGTATGGATAAATTTCTTGTCTTTTCTTATCTTTTTTTATAACCAATTCTTTAAAAGATTTAAATATATTTTTATTGTACTTGTCATAATGTGCTGTGCAGAATAACATTTCAATACATGTATATAATGTGTAATGATCAGGTAAAGGTCATGGCAAAGCCACCTTCTCTATGCTCAGAAGTGTAACGGCATATACAAAATTCACCTGTGAAAGGACATTTGTTTTCTGCTCTTGGTAGTTATGAATCGAGCAGCTATGAACACATGTGAGCAGGGTTTTGTGTGAATGTAAATTTTTATTTTCTAGGCTAATGGAGGAAATGAAAGGTCATGTAAGTATCTGACGAATTGTATAAGAAATGGCCAAACGTTTTTCCAGAGGACTATACCAGTTTACATGCCCATCAGCAATGTCTGGGCCTTCTAGTTGTTGCAATGCCTTGCTAAATCTTTGTACTATTGGTTTTTACCAATTGTAAAACTGGTTTTTACCAGTTTTTTATTATTTTTACCATTGGTTTGCTTTTCTTTTAGCCATTCAAATAGATTGCAGTGGTATTTCCTTGTGAGATTAGTTTGCATTTCTCTAATGGCTCATGATGATGAGCAAGGTTCGGTGGGCTTATTTGTCAGCTTAACTTCTATGGTAAAATATATCTTTAAATCATTTATACATTTTTTTAAAAGTTGTATTTTTTGGTTTCTTATTGCTGTATTTAAGAGCTCTTTATAGAAAGTCCCTTTTTGCACAAGTGATTTGCAAATATTTTCTTCCAGTTTGCAACTTATCTTTTCATTCTCAATATTCTTTTCTGAGGTAAGTTTTAAAATTTGTTCAAGTCCAATTTTGTGAATTATGCTTTTGCCTAACTCAGGTTAAAAGATTTTCTCTTTCATTTTAAAAGTTTTGTAGTTTTACCTTTTATCTTCAAGTCTGTAATCTACTTTGAGTGCATGTGGATTATTCTCATTAGGCTGAAGTTTATTTATTATTATTTTTTGGTGGTACTGAACTCAGGGCTTCACACTTGCTAGGCAGATGCTCTACCACTTGAATCAAACCCCCAGGGCCTTTTGCTTTAGTTATGTTTTAGAAACAGTCGGAGTTTTTGCCCAGGCAGCCTTGGACTATGATGCTCTTACCTACAACCTCCAGTGTAACTAAAGTTTCAGGTCACCACACCCAGCTTGCTAATATTTTTTTGCTCAAATCATTATCCTCCCAATCTCTGCCTTCTGAATAGCTGTGATTACAGACTATTATTTTATTTTATTTGCATATGGATTACCAATCATCCAATGTCATTTGTTGAAAAGTTTCTTGTTTCCCTATTGAACTTTTGCCAAAAACCAATTGACTATGTTGGCTCTATTTGTGTGGTTCTATTTCTGGATTCTATTTTCTGCTCCATTAATCTTGGTATCTGTCACTCCACTGGTAACGCATGTTGTAATTACATGGAAAGTTTTAAAATTGGAAAGCATGAATCCTCTAGTTTTATAATTCTTTTTCAAAATTGATTTTGTTTTCTAATTCCTTTTCCTTTCAACATAAATGTTCAAATATTATATATATATGCAATCCTGTTGTAATTTCTATTGGAATCACATGGTGTTTTGACCAATTTGGAGAGAACTGGCAACTTAAGTGTACTGATTCTTCTAATTCATAAGCATGGCATATTTCTCCCTTTGTTCAATCTTTGATTTCCTACCTCAGTGTTTCATAATTTTCATCACAGAAATCCTACACATTGTTGTTACTTATGTGAAATATTTAAATATTTTACTTTTTGGAAATTATTATTTTTCAAATTTTAGTTTCTGGTTGTTAATTTCTAGTCTATAGAAATGGGGGTTTTGTGTGCTAATCTCATTTTCTATAATCTTATTACTCTGACCTTTTAGTTGCAAGAGTGTTTTTAAAATTCTATGAGATTCTTTATGGGAACAATCAGGTCAACCTATACATATAGAGACAGTTTTATTTCAATTCTTTTCTAACTGAATGCTGTTTATATATTTTTCCTGCATTATTGCACTGGCTGGAATTTCAAATATAATACTGAAATACTTTTGGGGGAGGGCATTCAGTTCCTCACCAAGAACATTAGCTATAGGTGTTTTGTGATGTTGCTTTATCAGATTAGGGAAGAGCCTTTCTGTTACTGGCTTATTGAGAGTTCTTTTCTTTTTTCTTTTTTGCTTTTAAAATCATGAGTGAATGATAAATTTGTCAAGTGTTTTTTTTTTTTTGGCGTGAGTTAATATAATCAGATACTATTTTCTTTTTAGTCTGTTAATATGTAGTATTACCTTGACTAATGTCCAAATATCAATTCATCCTTGCATTCCCTCTCGTTTGTCACTTATTATTCTTTTTATATAGTGCTGGATTCAATAGGGTAATATTGGGTGGAGGATTTTTGTGTCTATGTTCATCAGGATACTGACCTGCAGTTTTATCTCCTTATGTTGTCTTTGTGTAATTTTAATATCAGGGTAATGCTGGCCTTAAAAAATAAGCTGGGGATTGCTTCTTCTACTGTTTCCTGGAAGATATTATGTGAAATTGGTGTTTGCAATGAACTAAATGCTTCTTTCCCACCCCAAATTTATATGCTGAAACCCTAAACTCCAATGTGATGATATTAGGAGTTGGGGACATCTGGGGAATTACATCATGAGGGAAGAGCCTCCATGAGTGGGATTAATGCTGTTATAAAAGGGGACTCCAGAAAACTCTTTTAGCCTCTTTCTACCATGTAAGGATTCAGCAAGAAGATGGTCATCTATGGACAAGTTATCATGCCCTCACCAGAAACCAAATATGCCAGCCCTTTGGTATTGGACTTCTCAGAACTGCGAGAAACAAATGTCATTTATGAACCACCCTGTCTGCAGTACTTTGTTAGAGCAGCCCAAATAGACTAAGTCCATTGGGCTTGGAGGTTTTAGGGGGATTTTCTTGGAGGTGAAAGGTTTTCAACTAAAAATTCAGTCTCTTTAATAAATTTAGGCCCATTCCACTGTCGGTATGATTTGGTAGTTTGTGGTTGATTTCCTCTGATTTTTTTTCCAGGGTTGATTGTACTTTTCCCTGTCATCCTGTTAGTGTTTGGAGTGTTAGTGAATCTGCTGTTTGACTTTTAACATTGATAAATTGTGTCTTCTCTCTTTATATTTTCATTATCAATCTTGCTGTTTCATTCATCTTTCCAAAGACCTAGTTTTCAAGTTCATTTATTTTTCTGTATTACTTTTCTCCTTTTAATTTTATTGATTTTTGCTCTTATTATGTCCCTCTGTGTGTGCTTTAAATTTAATTTATTTTGCTTTCTCTTACCAGATTCTTAAGTAAGCTGCAAGTTTATACGATTGATTTGCGTCTCTTTTCCTTTCTAATATGAGACTTTAAAGCTACATATTTTCCTCTAATCATTGCTACAAGTTTTGACATATTTTCACTTTTGTTCAGTCTAAAATATTTTCTAATTATTCTTAAGACTTCCTTGATTTATGGATTATTTATAAATATGTTATTTAAGTGTTGTCTATTTGGAGCTTGCATCCTCTTCCTGGCCATTAGACCTTCCTTGCTTATGGGCCTCTGTCTCCCTCCCATTATGATAGGGATAACACTATGCCTTTTGTTGGATTGTTGAGGACTAGAAACACTGTGTGTAATGTTCTTGTAACAATATTTAATAAGTAACATCAATCAAGCTTTTATTATGTGCCAGAACTGTTTTGAATGCTTTGTAGTATTAGAAAATTTATACTCTCTAAGAACTCTGTCAGGGGGCTGTTTTTACAAGCGAGGAGACACAGACACTAAGGAGTTAAGAAAATCATTAGCAGCAGAACTGGACTTTTAAGCCAAAGCGCCCTCTTCTTTATTGTGGCCCTCATAACTATCACCGCACCTGGGCAGAGGAGTCCCCAGTTGAGCTCAGTGTGAACAGGCGATAGAGGAGTAAGGAGGGGGGAAAAGGCAGCATTCCCATGGAATCTGCCAGACTCTCCCCACCCTGGTTGCTATGTAGGCAAACCCTGCACCCTGAAGTCAGTGCTGCAGTTATGGTAACCAAGGCCTGGATAGTTCCTCTGGGTCCAACAGGTGAAAAGGGACATGACAGGTCATTACCACCACCTCATTCCCTCATATTCTGGCTTATGTTGCATCTGACAGTAGCCCTCTCCAGGACAGCCATGTAACAACTCTAAAGAGTCTCTAGATGTATGTGGGGGACTGGGAAATGGCAGATACCTAAGAATACACAACACACGCACCTAATCATGTCAAAGCCCAGGCAGTGGAGGTCTTCATAAGCCAGAGAGAGAAGCAGGGCAACCCTGTGTTTCTCATGTAGCACCTGGGAAAGTCCTCTGAAGAGGACATACAATTTGATGAAGATGCTTTGGGGGGGTTGCTTCTGTAGGTAATTCCTCTCTACTAGCCTGTTTCTCTCTCTCTCCAAATTATTGGGAGCACAGCACATGGTTTTGTGGGAGTCCACTACTCTATGTTCTCTTGTAACCAGATGGTATTTTTTTGTTCTCATTAGTGTCTGTCTCTACCAGTTTCATGTGACTTCTTCCTCAAACTGGTCACCATCTAGCCCAAAAAAAAATTCTTCAAAAACGCTCCCTCATTAAGAGAACATGGCCAAGGGTGTTGGAAAAAGCCTCAAGGGCAAGAAGATTACCCTCAATGTGGCCAAGAATTGCATCAGAATCACATTTGATGGGAGAAAACGCCTTGACTTGAGCAAGATGGGAATCACCACCTTTCCCAAGTGTATTCTGCGACTCAATGATGTGGACGAGCTTGACCTTAGCCGGAATCTGATCAGGAAGATACCTGAGTCCATCTCCAGGTTCCAGAACCTGCGGTGGCTGGACCTACACAGCAACTACATTGACCGGCTTCCAGAGTCCATTGGCCAGATGACCACCCTGCTTTACCTCAACGTCAGCAACAACAGACTGACCACCAACGGACTGCCCGTGGAACTAAATCAGCTCAAGAACATCCGCACTGTGAATCTGGGTTTGAACCATCTGGACAGTGTGCCCACCACACTGGGGGCATTGAAGGAGCTGCATGAGGTGGGACTCCACGACAATCTGCTGAACTCCGTCCCTCCCAGCATCTCCAAGCTCCCCAAACTGAAGAAGCTCAACACAAAAAGAAACCCCTTTCCAAAGGCAGATGAATTAGAAATGTTCGCAGACACCATCAAGAGGCTAGATAACCTATATCTGGTGGAGGAAAAGGATCTTTGTGGCCCTTGCCTTCGAAAATGCCAACTGGCCAGGGAAAAACTGAACAGGATCAAGAGCATGGCCTCATCAGTACCAAGAAAGGCCATCTTTTCCAATTTGGTCTCACCCAATTCCATGGCTAAGGAATCCCAAGAAGACTGGAGGTGAACTGGGAACCACCCCCCAAGGCAGGAGGGGTAAAGGTGGGAGGGAAGGGAGAAGTAGGCTGCACCCACAGGAAAGGGAGGGCTCTTTTGTTTCTGCAGTAGCCCTTCCACTCAAGCCCATAAAACCTTTCCCTATGTCCTTGGCCTGTGGTGTTGTTGACTGAAAGGCTTTTGGTTCCTTGTAATTCTGCACATTACTCTTTCCTCTTCATGCACACACACACACACGTATAGGCACAAAGAGTCAGGAAAGGGCATTCATCAGTCCATCTCACTTCTGCACCAGAACTCTCCCTGCAGCCCATGGCCCAGGTGCCATTGCTGCCAGCACACTTATTATCACTAGTATTTCAGGACCCACTGCCAGCTCCAAAAATGTGGAGCTTGTTCCACAGGAATGTTTTGGATCAGGGTTTCATAGGCCAGCAATCCTGGAGCTTGGGTTGGTAGGAGAGCAGGCACTGGTTTTGGGCGGAAGACAGAGTCAGGCCACAGAGATGGACAGGTATTATTAAGTATTGGCAAGTAGCATCTTGGAACTACAGCAGTACTCTTTCTTTTATCTGCACACTCATAGTTTGCCCTAGGAGTTTTCTAAGACTAAACCTGCAGGCCCTTCATGGACTGTGAATGAATAAGCACATTTTATCCAGTGCTTTTCCAGACCCTTGTACAGAGAAAGGAAAGAGTGGGGATAGGTATGGGTTGGTACACTCCATAAGTAAGTACCTTCGTAGGCAACCTGCTAGGTGCAGGGACCATGTCCAGTGGGGAAAGATTAGCTGGCATTGTGAATTCTGGGGAGATGGGGCAGAACAGCATACTCTGAGGGATTCAAGAGATCGGGATCTCATAACCACAACTTGATACACCCACAGACAGGTGTTCTAATAGATAAATATAGTTGTAAGTTATTATTGAGTATTCCATTATACAGGGCTGCCAAGCATAGAGAAAAGCCAAAGATTCTGGAACTGCACAGATGTAGGTCTGTGATAGCTCTGTCTCTCTTGCCATCTCCTTGGGGGGGGGGCACCTGACTTAGCTTTGATCTCATCTGTCAAGTGGGAATAATGCCACGCCCAACAGCTGAAGACAGGACATAGACCATGTACACAACAGATTTTGGTTCTCTCTAACAAAGAGAACTCGGTGCATCTCAAAGCTGAGATAACACCTTGGGCAGTATCACAAATCACACCAGATCTCTGGGCAGAATTCACAGTGATAGGGGCCATCCTACAATAGGTGTGAGCCTTCCCTGGTCTCATTGTGCACCACTCTCACTCATACCTTCATACTGCCAAAAGCAAAGGATCAAGGAAGGTGACTTCAGGAAGGTTTTTCTCCCCACAACAGGATTTCTTACAAAACTGGTGGCAAGTTTTGTAAGTGCTCAGTGTGGGGCACAGGAGGCCCCATCGATTCAGGAAGATGAGCTTTTTTTTTTTCACACCATAAACCCCAGTAGACAGTATGTTTCATTCCTTTATACCTCACTGCTTATTTCCATAATGCTTAGCTGTGACAATCCTATTGTACTTTTAAAATTTCAGAAGATCTAAACTCAAAATTCCCATTTTAGTTTTTTCCTCATATTAAATGTTTTCCATTATAAAAGTATCAAAACCACAACTTGGTTTTAAATACAATAGCTTAAGTTGTCCACCATTCCACAGTGTAAGCCAATTATAGTAATGGCAGCTTTCCTTACTAGCTATTTTTCAGTACGTATGTTTTTACACATACACACATAGCTAAAATGATAGCGTTCGTGTCATTTCTCTCCAGCTTTGCAACCCATGTTGTCACATGGTCTTTATAACCATAATTTAAGACCACTGTAAGCTAGTTATTCTTATGGATATATATAACTCTAAGTTATTGTTGAGCGTGTGAATTGTTTCCAGTTTTTTAATAATGGAAACAGTTTTATGATGAGAGAGCCTGATGACTAAAACATTTAGAAATAGTTTGGATTATTTCTTTGGCATAGCCACATAACTAGAAATATTGTGCATTACAACAATTATTTTAGAATAATTTTTGGTACATGCCATCAGGTTATTTACACACATTTCTGTCTATCAGTAATGTATCAGAGAACCTGTTTCACTGCATCCTTACCAGCACCAATTACCGTCCTTTACATTTTTCTCTTCATTGAGTGTCCAAAATGATTTATTAGAGGCTCTACTAAAGATGAGGAGACAGTCACACCTGAGATGAGCGTGATTATAATGGGGGGCACTATGAATTAGGATCAATGCAGGAAACCCTACATTAGGAGTGAAAATGGCTGCCCCACGAGCCCTGGTACCAGAGGAAAGATTGGTCTCCCAGTTCCAGTAACTGGGCCCTCAGCTAAATCTACATATGTATCTTGCCTGGTTTTTGTTTCGTCTTTTCTAGAAGTTGTAACACTGCTATGGGTAAGGCGGAGACAGAGTAAGAATTTCTCCACAATTTTGGCCAAAATTATATAAAATTCACTTTATGTATACATATGTATATATAATGTATGTATCTATCTATCTCTATCTGACTGTCTACCTATCTATCTATCTTTCAATCTATCATGCTATTTTCTCTTAAGGCAGGTGAACATCTGGACCCAGAACCAGGCCTTATGGCCAGGAGCTCTGGTAACAGGACTTAGTGGACCACTCAGAGATAGTATCTGGGGGCATCTTTTGTGCATGGCTTGCCATGCTTGGTGTAAGGGGAGGAGCTGGACCCTGCATTGGTCAAAACTATTTTGTTCCAGGACTCTTTCTTTTTTCCCTTTCAGCCAGCTTTGGAGACCCTTTGCCACTTGTGGTAAACTGGAAACATGACTGACACAGTTTGTTTCCCTGGCAAACTCTTGCCCAACAGAGCAAGACAGTTTGTGGGATTCTTTTTGAACCAAAGGTTGGGGTTCCTCTGGAAACCATTTGTTTGACAAGGAAGTTCGGATTTTTTTTATTTGGGTTTTGTGCTTTTGGCACCAGTTTGCTCAGACATTAAGAGGCTTAGCAAACCAGGTGTATATGGAAATCTCCGTTGTGGCTTGCATAAGAATGGGAAGCACTAATTCTGTTTGGGACTCCCTAGAGAAATTCTGATGATTTTCTTCTCATGTTTCTGCATGGCATATGTAACTGAAAATGCAACCAATTTGATGCAGCTGTTTTTCTAGAAGTAACTGGTGGGAATATCTGTGACCACTTTTTACCTTTTTGAGCTCATGTTTTTTTCTAGCAAATTCACTTTTTAGTCTGCTCTCGAGGCAGACAACTCATTCCCAGCATGGTATTTTCCATGTTGATCCTAATTCCTAGGGTTCCCAGTACATAACAAGGTGTCATGACTTTGGCATGCTGGGGCCTAGATGTGTGCACAGGGAGGTAGGCTATGGTTCCAGTCATTTCATCTCTGACCCAAGAGGTCCAGAATCCATGCAGAATCTATACAAAGAGGCAGCTGGTTGTTTGGCTATAGCCCACTTCAGTTGTTCTCCCTTGGGACACATGTTTTGGAGGGTTGGTGTTCCCTTCTTAGGCATTCAAAGACATCAACAAAGAAAAGAAGCTAAGAAAAGCATTGCAGCCAAAGATTCTGCCTGGGCTCCAGGAGGGATTGTGTCTCGCCCCTGGATTCCTCCCTCTTTCCCCTCCCAGCCTCTCACAGCTCATTCCTCACTGGGCCTCAGCCTCACTTGCTGAAATGCTGCAGCTCACTGGCCACCAAGCAAGATGCACTTCCTGTCCATCCTCATTCTAGGCACCTCCCTAGGCTGTTGCTCTTATGGCTGTGTCTTAGGAAGGGGTTGAAGTGCGCTGAACTTCACCAGGATTGAGAAGTGAACAGGTGGCAGACTTTGGTTTGTCATTTCATGCATTTCAGTTAAACCCCTTGTTAGCTAAGAAATGCTGGGAGTAGAATGAAGCAAAGTCTGGAGAAACAGACCATTTAGGAGTCATCTTCTGCATTTTCTCTCTTTTTCTGTCAAGGAGAAGGTTTGATGTTGACATTCCTTCATACTGTAAAATACCACTGCCACCTGTGCTTCTAGAAAGTTGTATTAAGTCTAAAAATACTTGATGCAAAGCCATGGGGTTTCTTTTTCCCCAAGTAGAACAAAAGCTATCCACATTGACCCTACTCTTCACTGATTCTGAGTTCCAGGAATGACCTGGGTGACTCTGTGTGACCTCAGTGTAACCTGTGTTTTGCCCCTGTGGCCTGGAGCAGCTGCCTCAGTCTCTTGTGTCTCCATTCCTCAGGTTGAACGCAACATCTTCCTAGAGTAGTTTATGGCAAAAACATGAAGACTAATCTGCTATCAGGAATAAACGACTCTGAAGAGGAAAAGCCCCAAGTTAGGAGAAGACAGAGTGGCATGGGGAACATTCTGGAATCAGGCTCTACAGGGCTGCCTAAACCACTGACTTGCCTCATAAATTTACTTTGACTCCATTTTCTGTAGCCTACCTGTGTGTGATGATTGCATTGGAAAATAATTTGATGTGGTTTTTAAAATGTATATAGAAGAAACATTTAAGAGAATTATAGGCATGTATCATAGATTATGAAAGACTTCAAGGGAACATGTTAAGACTTAAAAGCCTAACAGTCTACATTTCACTCAAACTGGTACACTCTCACCATCTGTAACCCACAGTAAGTTACCTATGTCTGATGAGATATCTCAACGCTGAGATTTATACAAAAATATGTATACAGAGAAACTTACTACCACAAAATAAAGGTAGAATTTTAACACATCTTTTAGTTATGCACAAGAAGGCAGAAAAAGAAAACAAATGAACAACAGGGGAAAACAAAAAGCAAAAAAGTAGGCTTATGTTTTAACATTTCAATAATTACATTAAATGTAAATGGTCAACTTTATTCACAATGGCTCCAAACTGGAAACAACCAAATGTACTTTAACACAAAAATTATTGAAAAAAACTGGTATATTCACACCATGGAATACTACTCAGCAATAAAAAAGAACACACTACTTATATATGCCACAACTTGGATTGGCCTCAGTGGCATTATTCTGAGTTTTAAAGGCCAATCTCCAAAGACTATACACTCTCTGATTATTTACAGAACATTCTCAAGATAACAAAATGGTAGAGATGAAAAGTTAATGAGTGGCTGCCAGGCATTAAGAACGGCTAGAAATGGCAAGGTAGGGGACCGTGATTATTAAGTGGCCGCACAAGAGATACCTTTCTGGGGATAATATAATTGTATATTGTCAATGTTGGTGGTGGTTACATGAATCTACACAGGTGATAAATGACAGGGAACTATGCACAGACATGTACCAAGGCACTTGTCCTGGTTTTGAAACTGTACAATAGTTAAACAACATGTGCCCGTGGAAAGGACTAAGTAAGAGAGCATGGAGCCTCTGTGTACCATTTCACAACTTTCTGTGAATCTAGTTGTTTTTAAAATGCAATTCTAAAAACCAATCATACAGCCTAGATGTAATAATAAACAGATATTTGTACATCTCTCCAATGCAAATTTATGAATCACTATAGCAAGTTTAAAGTGAGACTCTAACACACCCAAGTGACCCAGTGCTGCAATTCCTCAACCATCTCACAGAACTAAGGCATTTCAGGAGAAAGAGTACCTTACCCTCAGCTCACGGCACCATTCTAAAATTACCAGTGTTGTTCTTATCCTTGCATATTCTTGAGAAAGTCGCTAAAATAAAGAGAAAGCATGGCCTCTGTGTCCATTTTCCAGGCTTTCTGAGGTGCTAGATAGCAACTGCAGTGGGTGGGACCTAAAATTCTTCCCGGGTTTTCATGCACCTGCCCCCCACATG